AACATCTGCTAAATAATTGGTTTTGAAGTGTTTTCTCAATCTGATATGCTTTGTTCTCCTTTCTGTTAAGGCTAGTAGTCATCCACGAGCTTTATGTAATTTCGAAAATCATTAATGGAGGCTTTGAACAAAATCAAGTTTCTTTGGTCAACTGTATGCTCAGACAAAAGAAGTTCAACCAGCCCATCAAGCATAACCTCTTTAAGTCTCACTATTCTCTTTCACTGGCGCATCTAATAGTTCTGGATTGACCGTAGTGTTATAATTTTTGTTCTCTTTGCATTCGCAATAGTAACATTGTTGGTATTTATAAGTACATGTGTGTCAATGGATACAAATAGTCGATGATCATGGTGGAAGCTCTAGCGATTCGTAAAGCTGTCTTCTACGAAGTGAGCAAGGGTTTGCGAAACCTTCGATTAGCATCGGATTCACAAACTCTGGTCCGCCTAATCACCTAGAAGAATCAAAACATTGAGATCTATGGAGTCCTCCAAGACGTACGTCTATCTCTCAATTTCAATGCCGTTAAATATGTTCAAAGAGGGGAAAAAAATATCGAGGCCAGTTTGTTAGCTTAGTCGGCCTTAAACCATGTCTCGGCTCAACCCGGTTTATTCCTGGTTTAACGACAATATTACATTTCAACAAAATTGTCGATGTACAAGCCCTCGAGTGATTCTTGTATCATCACTTATTATTTGTTCTACAAAGCAATATAATTAATTGGATAAGTTTATACATGATCTTTTAAACTGTTCCATATAAATTAATCATTAATATGATGATAATGCATGTGACATTCGCAAACAAACTAACAAACCTTTTTTGAAATTCTTCTCAAATCTCAAGCCTTGTACGTTGCTGCTACTTTTACTCATTTCTTTAAATCATTTTGTGATCTGATAGGAGGTATTCCGCTCAGATTTTGTTAAGAAAAGTATCATCATTTAAGATAACACACTTAATCCCACATACGCATAACCCCAAGACTACTACTATTCACAAGCTATTTAAAAAAGAACCCGAAAGCCAAACAAGAATGGAGAGAAATACCACAACACACAAGTTAATGGGAGAGAAATACGTCTCAGCTACCAGCCTTTTGCTTGATGGTGATCTTGCTTCCCGATACTTGTAATTAAACCACAACATTCTCATTAAACACGCTTTTGTAAATGAATTCTAACATACCAAATTAAGAAAGCTCTATTTGTATCATGCAACTATCGTATAAAATTAAAAGATATCAAAGTGAAGCATAAACAACAAGACTATTCTAATCTAGATTAGCCTATCAACAATCTATAGTTCTAACACTGTAAAGGCAGACATACAAAACTCAGTTTCATTGAAATTTGTTTATAAACTATGAAAAAGAGGGCCCTACATAATAAGGATTAAAGACTGCCTACTAACTTATAACATTTTCGAGTTCCATGTATTAAGTGTATCTTAAGCATTTTGAAATCAGAGTGGTACTTGTGAGTTGGAATTATTGATGTCCAGTAAGAGTAATTCATGTCTCGTTGCCCACAGTTTAGAAAACCAAACCTTTTCCTGCATAACCGCTAGCTTGAAGAGAGGAAGACTGTGAAGTAACGTATTCTGAGCAGTGCAAGAAATCTAAGACAAGAAAGCACAATCATCATCATTAATCAGTCCCACAACGGTGAACTTAAAAATAAAACACAATGAGAAGAATTTATTTATACCAAAAACTGTTGAACATTACTTGTGAGAAGCTCTTATGTGAAACAACCTTCTTGCAAGGTTGACAACCTCGATGACTGGAATAAGAAGAAAACATATATAAAACTCAAAGATGTAATAGAATGGTTTAAGCAAAGATGCTTATATTCAAGCCATCTAATTCAATGATCTTAAAAGAAAATGAAACAATTCAACTTGGTCTTAAAAGAACTTGACGACTCAGTTTGTGAGCAAAGGAAGCATACGGTGTCTATTTACCTTGAAGCATGGAGGTGGAGATTAAAATATCCTCCAGTGTTAGGCTATCCACACAAACGATTTAAACACTCATGCCGCAATACCCAATAGCAGTCATAGAGTAATACAACCAGCAATAAACTCAGAGCAGTCAATTGTTACCAACACTGATATTCTGCATCATAGAGGAATAAAATATTGTAATCACATATGCAGATTAATGATAACACTGACAGCCTTACACAATGGAGACGAAAACTATCAAACCTTTGCATTTACACTTTAAGCTTATATAAACTTTTGATTAAAAAAAAAAAAACCTTCACCATTCTATCAAAGTAACCATGATTATCTAAGACCTGTTCTGTCTAGCCTCATCATAGTAACACGTTGTTTCATTGTTTAGTGCTTATTCCCGAGTACAAAAAATATGTCCATGATGTATATCTCATCCTAACAGTTTCATAGAAAAGCTTGCAATATGATTAATGAGAACTCTAGTAAGAGAAATATGGACACAACAAAATAAAAATAGAAAAGGCTTACGCCACTCGAGAATATTAGTTGGGGAAGGACAAGCAAGAGCATGAGAGACTGGTACACAAACCATCTCCTTTAAATGTTGGAGGAGCAGCTGCCTTTGCAAAGGCGCGGACTGGAATAGCATGGTGCTGCTGCAAAATGACCAGACTCCCCCTGTAGCTGCATAATGAGAGTCAAATAAGTTGCAGCTAATCAATGAAATCAGAACGTATGGTCGATGGTCGATTCAACAAACTCTCCGATCGAGATTGATACAAAACTCTCAAATCAGAAACTAAAAAGGTAATCATCGAGATAGAAAGATTTAGATCAAATGTACCATTTTCCTACACAAGTCGATCCTGATATATCTATTTAAGTAAGCCCAGACAGAAAACAAGAATGCTTTGAATGAGGAAAGACTTACAAAATCCTCAAGTGTAGAGTTTGCTCTCTTCATTGCATCATGCCCGACCATTGCAACAACGTCTTGGTGTTTCTGTGACATGTATGTAAGGATCAACAATGTCCATGACACTCCTCTTCAGACAACTCTTTTGCGTCTCCCCTGCATGTAAATCGAACAATCAAAACAAGACTCAGAATTTCAGGTCTGCAAATCGAAATCACAGAGAAGCTACACATGTTGAGGACATAATTATCTCAAAAAACTAAGAGCTATACAAATCTCTAAAACACTATGATTAGGATCTGTTGGAATATTCGTTGTTTAGTGAACCACATGACCTTTGTTGCTACTGAAATGGCCGAAGAAGGTATTATAACTCATTTTTGTATATAAAATAAATAAATTTTGCTTTTTTTTTTTTAATTGTTTAAAATTTTTACTCCTCCTACATATTTTTAAGTACGAGTCTTAGTTTCAGTTATATTAATTCATTGAATAATATTGAAGTTTTGTTATTGGGTTGTTCTGTAGGAGTCACATGCATTTGCAATTTCAAAGGACAGTTCAAATACTTTGCTGATTAATGTTTCC